TGGGCATTCGCGGGATACACATCTTGACATTCCGTTCTGAGAAAGAGGTCTATAAAGTTCCATATATGCTGTAGTATAGCATGTCAACGAAAATCCTATTCCCTTTTTTATTTTTATTTTTTTTACACCCTTTTCATTTGGGTCTTCTTGGGTCATTTTTGCCTGCTTGGGGATCAAGAACGTATAGGTTATTTTTTCCGGGGGTAAAGGAAACCGTTTTAAACAAATAATTTATCAAATTCAACAAATGATTCAACAAGAAATATTTTTAATTTTTGGTCTAGAATAAAAATTTTTGAGCATCTAGTGACATGGTGACATTTAAACATTCTTGTTCACATCAATTTTATTTCATGTTTTAACAATTTACTGGATTCCTAGTAAATTTCGCCGGTTTTTTCCAATTAAATTCATCTGCATAAATTCCCGATGAGTACTTCAACCTGATTTCACGTCTTTGACCTCCTTCAGTTCAATCCGATCGCCCCATGCTTTCGTCAATTATTTTGCTTTCCAAGTTTTACAACCCTTGAAATGAAGAACCGAAGTTTGGCTTGAAACAGATGAAGTGTGCGTCAATGCGATTGAAGGCAGCTGAAATCGACAGATTTCTCCTAAAACTCCCGAGAAAAACGAAATGACTTACGCTCGGCTAAGAATTTCAACCCCGGGGGGGTCCCCACTGCACATGACTGGTCATGTAATTTTAGCGCAGTGCCCTGGGCGGCAGTAAATGAAAAGCTGAGAGAAACCCAGAGACCAGTTCCCAGAGAGTCGTCAAAAATAATAGAACAGCTGTAAATTCGCGAGGCGCGAATGAAGCTGACATTCATTGCACTGGAGTGGAAAAAGGGGGGGACGCAACATTTTTACCCCTGCAGTATAGAAAGCTTTATTGGGGGTGAGGGGTGAAATTGTGGCCCGACTTGGACTGCTGAAAGGGGGGCTAGCAAATATCCATGCAACCTCTTTCAGATTCAATCAAAATCATGCTCCTTTTTTTTCAGCAGACTCCTTCAAGAGGAATGACCCTCAGGCAAAGCCAGGAAGTAAAATTCAGCAATGACAAGGAACAAAAGAGATTATAAACATTCACTATGACAAAAAAATTCCAATGGGGTCAGTAAAAAGCTTTCATACACCAAAAATCCATTATACAAAATAGTCAAACATTCTGATGATTTAAATGTTGCTCTATATAGTGCTTTTCTCTGCTAAAGAGGGTGCATTTCCAAAATAAAAGTTAAATTCAGGTTATGGAAAAAACGATGTTACTTTTATTTCAGTGAAAATGAGTAGAATTGTTAGGAATCAAAAATAGGACCCTTAAGTCATAAAAAACCATTGTAAAGCCAAACAATCAGATTGAAACTTATGCTTCATTATGCTCTTGTTGTCAGAAAAGGTCGCCTTCTGTCAAAAAAAAGTCCAATCCAGTTTAGGAGATAAGACATCTGCTCTTATGATGGTGGAAATATGTGGATTAAATTAAGTTCAAATTTCTGGTCCACACAAAATTTTCTTCACCACAATAAATAAATGTCAAAAGAAGCAATGAAGTCTGTTATATGTTTATTTGAAATTTCAGAAGAAAAACAATTGCTGTTGAAATTATGTGATGAAAAATAAAAGTTGGCTTTTTATCCTGTATTAATAGATGTTTCATGGACAAATTTTCACCTGCTGAAATAAATTATTTTGATTCTTCATTCTGAGAAACCTTTCTTCAAGCCCACCTTTCTAAGCATTTGAATTCATTCCATACTTCATTGTCTTTTGCCACACGAAAAATTTACATTCTTCTAAGAAGAAAAGCGTCCTCGATTTTTTTTTTGTTGAAAAAATGAAGAATAATTCGAGACGTACTGCCTAAAGTATAGGACCCCTGGGAGTACATCATCATTTCCAAGAGGTGTTTATTTTATATTTTATTCCCCTCCAGTTTTCGTTTTATCCTATTCTAATATTCCGGAACAGATATTCGCCACATCACCATAAGACGGAAACCCCCATGGGCTAATGTTCAGTTTCCGAAAGCCCTTCTACCCTCGCCTCGCACAGCATCAGGGATGAGGAAAGAACTTTATTCCAGCACCGTCTGTCACATATCTTTGCCTTCGTCAGCTCAAAAGCCGAGAAATTCAGCACGAAAACCAACACGCGGGAAATAAAAGCAAAAATCAGACTCACTCTAAAGAATATAATAAATAAAAAAAAAGTGAGAAAAGCAGCAGCAGCCATGACCGAGTCCAGCAAAAATAAGATTTCCTTCTTTTTTTTTCGCCCCCGAGCTCGTCGACACCCGCCAGCACTCAAGGTGCCATATTTTATGCTTCCAGCATAAAATAAAAAAAAAAATATATATATACATACGTATATCTACACAGTATATATGTTGTATTTTTATTTTTATTTTCTTCTTTCCTCCAGAGCCAGTAGGGATTATACATTCTGCATCCCCAGCACATCAGTTGCACAGCGGGGCGTGAGAGTGCAAATTGCTCCGGCTTTAAGGCCTTCAGTTCTTGGGCGAACTGTTGGCCGAGGGCATTTCCATGACCTCGGGCGACAGCGTCGGGTTCGGCCGCCTCGTCACTCTTTTCCGCTAGGAAAATAACCCCAGGAAAATTAGTCAACATCGAAATATACACGAGGAGTTCCCACTCTTCTTGGAATAGGAGAAGAAGAAGAAGAAGAAGAAAGCGGATATAGGGGGACAGTTTTTCCATGTCCCCGTCCGCCTTTGTGCACACTACTGAGGGTATATACAAAGGGTAATTCTATAGTTTCTGTTTTTATAGTTTGGTTTTCCATTTTAGGAGTCAAACATATTTTAGCCCTTGGGCAGGGGGACCAGGATGTATCTGCAAAATGTTGTGCCACAAGGACTAAAAAAAAAAACTGGAAAACAAAAAGTATTAGGAAAGTCTAAGTTGGGAAAAATTACAAATATGTTTTAACATTCCTGCTGAAATTTTTTTTTTAGAATAAAGTTTGGTGGCACTTTTTCTGCATTCCTGCTAAAGAATTACCCTTGAGGGATTTTCAGAATAATGGCTTTTCCTTTCTTGAATTTTTCTGAACTTTGGCTATGCAGCCAAATAAGCTGCATTTTAGTGACCTTTGGTCAAACAAAAATGCACAAGCATGCAAAAAAATCCCAGCACTGCTGTGCAATGGAAAAGGACCTATGCTGCTGCCCAAGGGTTAAATGGTTTCTTTTTGGACGGGCAATGGGTTGCTTCCAGTCTGTTTGCTCAGCACTTTATTTTTCACTAACTGAGTATTTTTTTTAACAAATTTGGACAAGCCAAAAGTTTTAAAATGCTGATCTGGTAAGTCAGAAAATATACATGGTGTGCTGCAAAAAATGCATGTACTCAAAATATGTATTTCCTCACATCAGCACTTTTCATTGTTGAAATTTTCACCAAAGCAAAATAAAACATTGAAAAAACCATTTAAAAAAACCATGAGAAGCACCTTTGTCCTAAAAAATTTTGATTGCATGCATTTGCACATCTTTTCTTGGTGACATTTCAGGAACTTTTTAATCATCGCATGCTGCTGGAAAACATATTTTGTGGCTTCATGATCGTTTCAGAAAGGCAAATTCAACAGCACTTCATAAAAATTGTTTTTTTTTTCAGAAAAAGCACTTTTCGTAATAGAAGTCACAAAAAACCAGATCACTTTTGTCTGCAGAGACAGGCTGTATATTTTTTATCAGACTAAAATTTTTCTTGAAAGAAATTCATGAGAACGGGGAATGATTTTTCAACTTTTTTTCAGATAATCAGAAGATCACCGGAATATTGCTGATCCCTTCGTTGTTATTTTAATACATTACATTTTCGCAATGGGTTATTTGTAAATGATTGATGTATCAAACTTAATGAAGTGCATGTCTGACCATCCAATTTTAATCTTTCATGCCTATGAGAAACCAGATTTGTAATTTTCTCTGTTGGTGAAATGGCAACCGAATTGCAGAAATTTTAAGTACTACCCCTTGAGTACCGGGAAGCCACTCAGGAAATGCAGGCGCCTGAAACTATTTCCCTGAGAAATGTTTGGCCAGCGGCGGGTTAAAATTCTTATTCTCAGCCTCTTTCAACAATGCCTGATATACTATGATGGATTGATGTTTGCGGAGGTGGACACGAAAATTACCGGAAAGTGAAACACGTGTGTCACTTCTGAAAAATTTCTCCCCCAATTTTTATATTTCCTACTAATTTTATTAATTTTCTTAAGTTCAGAAGAAAAATAAAATGACATATCTGACGCGTGGCATTACAGTACATATAGCGACGGAATTTTCGGGAAGCTGGAGGAAATTATTCTTCATTGTTGAAAATTTATTTGTGGATCTTACCATCTCAGCTTTCAAGTAATGATAAATCAATTCGATCGAAAATGGAAATGATGAGGATTTTCGAACATATCCAAAATAACTTCCGACAAAAAATGACACAATTCAAACCAAAATCTTATTTAATTCAAATTTGTGTTGATTCATCTAATGAAAACTAATATGAAGATAAGAAAACCCCGCCTCTTGCTGCAAACATAGTTTCACCCACGGAAAAAATGTCCGAAATTCAAAAAATTTTCGAAAAGACCAGCAACTAAACAGCAAAACAAAATTCTGAATCCTAAATGAACGTAATTGTGATCAAATTATGACTATATATGCATTTCAAAAATTTTTCCATCACGTTGAATTATTCAGGGTAACGTATATTTTAACCGGCGGAATGATGAAAGTTTTCAAATTATAACCGATCTCAAGTTGCAAAAAGATTTTAATTTTTTTATTTCAGTAAAAAGAACACTTCTCTCTGAAAAAAATCAGAGAAACTGTTACTTGGTTTGAAACATGAATGGAAAGAACTAAGGCTGCTTCCTGGGTAAATTTAAATTATCCAAAAATAGCGTTTACATTTATGAAATGTGCACTGTACTTGAATGAAAGCCGTGTTTTGCTGATATTTGGCACGATCTTTCTCTTCAGTGATCGCCTTTATGAGAGACACAATGTCCATGTCGTGTCTGATGGGAGCCGAGGAATTGTTCAGCTGGTCGTAAATGTGAGTCAAGCGGTACTTTGGTCGTTGCTGCCGTTTTCTGCTCAATTTCCGGTTTGATTTCTTGGTCGAAGTACTTCTCCTTCTCTTCTGAAGAGAAATCCATTGACCGATTCACCCCTTTTTCAAGTCATATCACTGATGGATGGGTTTCTCGGGGCCAGGAAAGAAAATGCCGCAGTAGTACGTTCAGA